AAAAGGAATCTAAGATATTTGGATTTGGCCTAACCTTTGAGGTTTTATATCAGAGACAACAATCAATTTCCTTCACAGCAAGCGTTTTTGGTTTGATACAGAACTGCACTGAATGGGTTTTGGGTCAGATTCGGTGTGACAATTCTTGTGTTCTTGTGTTCCCAAGGGCATACTACTTTCTGTGTGAGGAGACCTATCATAGATACATAAAAACAAATAGCATCCCTTGAGATGTATCTAAAAATAAGAGAAAGTTTTGTAAATAGTATTGCAATAAATTCTAAGTATGTGGTCACAGAAAGGCGTCAGTAATGAAAAGATTTCAGGAGAACTGCTGAACTGTTATTTATTTTTAAAATTAAATGAGATTATTGTAGTTGGACTGCTTCTCTGAAACACTTTCATTCTAGTGAGAAGTGGTTCCTAAATGCCGGTCTTTGATGACTTTTTCACTCTTCTGCATAAAATAAATATTAGAACATAGTGAGTATGGTTTTCACAGTGCTGCTATATTTCATCGATTTCGAGATGTACATTTTTCCATATTTTAGCATTTCTGCAAATGAGGTCTTTACAGTTAATGGCATCTTAAAATCATTGTCAGTTGTGAAATAGTTATCACTACCTACACATTCATGAACTCAGTAATTACTCCTACTGATATGACTAGACAACTGCAACCCATTGATATTTCAGTTTACAAACCATTTAAGGACTGTTTATGGAGAAGATGACCATTTCTGGGTTGTCTTCTGAAACCTGTTAAATCTTCTGGTGATACCTTTTGGTAAGATCAAGAAAGGTATGACATCGAGACTGGGCAGTGTGTGTTAGTTGCTTGGACGAGAGTCCCGGAGGTAATAGAGGAACACTTTAAAAAGAAATTTTGTGTTACTAATTCTTTAAATGGTGCAGAGAGATGATATTATGGAAAAACAAGGATTACCGATGACTCTGAATTAAAAAGAATTTAGATATCAGATTCTGAATGTGAAGAAGATTTTAAGAATACCTTGAATTTCTTTTGCTTTTTTTATGAAACCGTAAGAGTATTATATGAAAAATCATGTCTAAATAAGTTTAAAAGAGCTTTTAAAATAAATATAAAATAAAAAATTCTAAGTGATAAGAAAGCATATGTCTTAGTTTAATTGGTAGGTATTTTTTCTTTTTAGTGGTACACAAAATAATGGTGCATCTTAATAGTGATAATATCTTGGAGTCAATGAAATGTAGTTAATTTATTCAGTTTAAAGGATTGAGATTATCTTAAAATTGTGCTCTTACTTTTTGGTGTTATATTTGTTTTATGAAATCATGATCATAGATAAAGTTGAAATGTTTTAAATATCTTGCTTAGTAAAATAAAAAATTGGCAACCCTATATTGGTTTTCCAAATTTCTTTTTAAATTATATTGGCCTGTGAAATTCAGAGATCCACGAGCCATTGTTATAAAAAGTCTAGCATATTAACCTTATTTTTTGTGTGTTTTTCACCACAGGTCAGAGTTTATTTCTTAGTTTGATTTGAACAGATTTCACAGAATGATTAAGAGCAAAATTCTAGAGGCTGACAGTCTACTTTTGTTTGAATTTATGATTTTTGCTTCTGCTTTGTCTTTTGTTACTTTGCTTTAACCAGTCCTGTGGAATTGAGTTTATTGTGCTAATAAGCAGGTAACCACTCAAAAAAGAATGATAAAAAAAGTTGTGACAATAGGTCATTCTTTACCTTATATACATGGAATAGTTTGAGCCACACTGGAAGGCTCCTCCCCTAACCAAATATCTCTCTCCTACTAGCTTGTTTTAGTGGCTGAAATTTTCATCTGTCAGCTATTTTTGGGATTTAAAATATTGACAATTATAAGCTCCATGAAGGCAGGTATCAACATCTGTCTTTTTTATTGCTGTAACTCCAGCATCCATCTTACTTCCTGGCACATAAATAACTGTTTCATAAATATTTATTCAATTAACAAATGAAGGCAAATGTTATTTGCAACATTAAAACATTATTAGTCATAGTTATCTATAGTTTATTAAATAACTAGTAGAAAATGAAGCTGTAAGGTAATTGAAATGCAGTTTGGATAAATTCTGGGAAAGGTAAGTGATAGGTCTAGAATGGTTCTCAGGCTCTTTGAAAAGTGTATCCTCCTTCCCCTTCTTTTAGGAACCTTCTTCATGTCAGAAAAGTACAGGATTTCTTACAGGACAGTAGTTCTTTATTATCTGTTGATTGAGAAAATACATGATTTAAAAATGTAGAAGAAATTTCATTAACACTTTTAATTAAATGAATATTTGTTAATCCATTAATTGATAGATCTTATACTTATCTAGACATTATTTTATCTCTAGATAAATCTAGGTATGCATATAGTTTCGTGGAGCCCTTAGAGTCCAAGACCCTTTTTTGGCTGGCAGCCATTGATCTAGACTTGCTACTGGAGTGTGGTTTGCAGGCCAGCAAAGATTGCTGTCACCTGGGGAGGATGTTAGACATGCAGAACCTCAGGCCCTGCTTCAGGTCTATAGAATCACAATTAGCATTTTAACAAGATTCTCAGGTGATTCAAGTGTACATTGTTTGAGAAGAGTTTATAGAACACATGATTTTTGTTCAGATTGAGGTGGTTGTTGAATTTTTTTTTTTTTTGCAAAGCAGAATAGGAGGAACAGGCCAGAGATAGAAAAGTGTGGAAAACCAATTTGGCTTACTTCTCATATCTTAGAATGATTTTGTTAATTCTCATATCTTAGAATGATTTTGTTAGTTGCATAAGAATTCCTGAAAAGCAGGAGTGTGTGAATTAAATCTCTTATTTTTATTTGCCCTTACACTGATGCATAAATTAATCTGGCTGCTTTAGTGCACAGTTTAGCAATTTAGTAGTTGAATATGTGCATGCACTTATGATCTAGTACTTTTACTCATTACAATACTATACAGCATTGAAAATGGATGAATTTTACATTACAATACTATACATTACAATACATTTTTTACATTACAATACTATACATTACAATACATTGCATGCACTTATGCAATGCATGCACTTATGATCTAGTACTTTTACTCATTACAATACTATACAGCATTGAAAATGGATGAATTAGAGCTACATATATCAATATGAATAATTTTTTAAAATAATATTGAGTGACTGTAACAAGTCATAGGTGGACATTTACAGTATATATAATGTTTAAAAACATGCAGAACAAAATAATATACATATTATTTCTGGATACATATATTAATAAGCGTATAATGCAGTGATCGACACCACACTCAGAAAGTGATTACCTCTCGGGTGGGAGGCGTATAAATGGGATCAGCAAGGGATTCGGCTGTGTCTTTAATGTCTTATTTCTTAATAACAGAAGATCTTAATAAGATAGAATGTTAAGATTTAATTTATTTGGAGAGTAGGCCCATGGTATTTGTTATTATTACCTAGATTCTCTTTGTAATGTTTAAATATTTTATGATTAAAAGTTTAAAGAGCCAGAGAAAAAGGGCCAGAGAAATGGGGTGGTGGTTGGGGGAAATCAGTTTGCTAGTATCGCATATTTGCACGATAGTGGTAATGACCGAGTGAGAAAGAACATACTAGTGGAAAAGACTGAGACAGCTGTAAGAGCAGGGTCCCAGAGCAAGAGAAACGGTGGGATCCGGTGCAGAAGTAATTGGTTTGGCTTTTGATAGGAGCAAGGACAGTTTGCTGAAACAGGAGGGAAAACAATAAATGGTGGGAAAAGGAAGTAGTTCTCTTCTGAACTTAGGGTGACTGATGTTCAGGTTTACCTGGGCCTGCGGTTTTCCAGAATGCAGAATGTTCATTGCTAAAACTGGGAAAGTCCCAGACAAACCAGCATGGTTGGGCACCCTACATCTGCTTGTTTTTCTTTGGCAAAATGAAAAATGTGATCATCTGCTAGGCGTGAGAAGAGGCCGAAGGTTTAAGGTAAAAGGAGAAGCTATATGAGATAATTATCTTAAAGATGGGAGAACAAATTCAGTAGGTTAATGTGGTATGATTTCTGAGCTTTGCTAATGGTCTTCTGAAATTTATGGGTATAATTTCAAAGTTCCTATGGTTGTGTTTCAGTCCCATTCAGCTGTTCAGGTGGAAGTACTGTGTTAAGTGGAAAGTTGGTTTTAACTATGATTTGACATAATGGAGGAGGAGAGGAACAAAGGAGTGAGGCCATAGGCAAAGGAGAGATCACGTCTCAGGCTGGGTAAGAAGTGAAGAAGAGAGGGGATGATGGACAGTGGGAAACGGGGTGGTAGTTGGGGGGAAAATCAATCTGCTAGTATAACATATTTGCACCTAATGGTAAGGACCTAATAAAGAGGGACAAGTTAGTGCAGAAAACTAGGACAGTTGTAAGAGCAGAGTCCTTGAGTTAACATAGTCTAGATTGAACTGCATAGATAAGGAAGTGAAGAGAGTTGGATGTTTGAAATTGAGATTTTCTGAGGTAGTGTAGTTACTAGTTATTGATATGATCATGCGAGTAGGAGATTGGAGCGGAAGGAAGAAAAGGCCATTGAGTGTGGGAATGATCACTCCATGGATGTGATTTTAGTGATTAAAGCAGGTTTTGATGCTCTAAGAAATAGTCACTCGATTATTATCTTTTCATATACTAGCATTTTTCTGTTTCTTTTTTTTATTTTGTTTAAACACTTTCTCAAATTGTACTTTATATTGTTGTTTTTGTTCTGGAATAAAGATGGTTGTAAGTAAATAAGCAAATAGATAAAAGCAAGTTTTGTTTAATCAGATCTTGGCCTTACCATATGGCTTGGTAGACACTTTGTATGTCATTGGTTAAGTTTCAAACATAAACGTCCATACTGATGATCCCACTGCCCATTAAGCTATTTTAGTCACAAATAGGTTCAGTGAGGGCTTTGTGTATGCTTCTTCTCTACAGTACATTGCTTTGCTGACTCCAGTTTCCCTCTCTCTTTTTATAGGACCGCAGCTGAATGCACAGCTAGAAGGTTGGCTTTCACAAGTACAGTCTACAAAAAGACCTGCTAGAGCCATTATTGCACCGTAAGTTTTAAGGATCTTTACCCAGGATTGTTCTTGTGTTAATTATTAATAAAGAATGAGTATCTACTGGTCGAACTAAAAATCAAAAGCCAATTGCTGTGTTGAATTGACAAAATTATGTTCAGTAATATTCATGTGACTTTGACTTTAACTCAAGGTTAAAGGAAATTGGCTATTGTATTTTGTCAGATGGAGTAATTTCAAAATTTATTCTTGGTAATAAAAGGGTTTTAAAGCAGAGAGTTGCTTACATTAGGTAAACTTGATGATTTCAGTAATAATTGGTTTAAATGAATAAGTTCTAGTTTAATCATTAAAAGATCTTTAATCCAGATAATTTGTAATTTATAATGAAGAAGATGCTTTAAAGCATAATACAGTGCAATCTAGAGTGGTAACTAGAGTTTTGGGGGAAAAGTAGATTTAGGAAAAATATTTCAATGATTATTGTTCTTTTAAATATTTTTTTCAATTGCAATTGACATTCAGTATTTTATATTCGTTTCAGGTGTATAGCCTCGTGGTTAGATATTTATATAATTTACAAAGTGATCCTTCCGATAAGTCTAGTGCCCACCTGGCATCGTACATAGTTTTTATAATATTATTGACTATATTACCTATTGCTGTACTTTCTTTCCCCGTGACTTTTTGTAACTACCAATTTGTTCTTCTTAATCCTTTCACCTTTGGAGTAGATATTTTTGTGATGAAAAAAATCTGTGATGATTTTGTCTTTGACTATTAGAGGGTTTTTTAGAACTTAGAGCCAGCAGATACATAGTTAATGATGTGCCTGTGTGTGATATGAATTCAATTAATTTTGATTTGGTTTCCAGTGCTATTCTTCAAAACATATTGTTTTAGGCACATGTTCACTTTTTTCTGAGAAGAGTAAAGGTTGGAGTTTGTGCCATTTCTCTCAGCAGAATCTTTTATGCCACTTCTATTGAGTTAAGGGTGGTACCCTGATAAATATTAGTGAAAAAAATAATAGGAACCACTTATTAAACAGTGTGAGAATTAATTGAATAAATACACATAAAGATGTGTATTTGGCACATAATAAATATTTCATAATAAATATTGGCACATAATAAATATTTCATAAATATTAGGTATTTTATGTGCCAGACATTTTGTTAAATACTCTATTTGTATGATCTAATTTGATTTCCTTTAATAGATACAGAAGACTGACTGTACCACTTACAAGTTATTGTGCTTTTGTCTCATTGGTATAGTTGGAATAATAATAGTACCTCTATATAGTTGTTTTGATGATTAAATGAACTAATCTTTATAAAACTTTTAGAATAAGAACTTGCAATTATTTGTTTAGTCATTCAGCAAATATATACCAGGCTAAATGCCAGATGCTCTTCTTTGTGCTGTTTTTTGAGTAAATCAAAATTACTATTCTCATAGTATTTGCATTTTAATATTTGGGAAAGACAGACGGTAAACAATTAAATGACAATATCTGTGAGGTACTAAGAAGAAAAATAAAGCAGATCAAGAAGCTTGAGAGTGACAGTGTGGGAAGGAAGTTGCTAGTTTATGTAGGATGGTAAGAACAGGTCACCCCTA